AGCACATCGGGAGCTGCCGCGTTATTTTCTAGATTATTCCGTGTCGATTTTTAATACCGCGTTTCGACTTTGCGACAATTGACGCGATAATTAAGACGAATTAAGACACGTACTCCTCACGCGAGCAGGTGTTGCGGGCTTTACCGCGACGGGTAATTACCGCGTTTTATTTACTTTTTTACTTGTTAGGTAGAGAAACGTCGTGATCGAGTTTCTCAATGCCGATCAAATATTATCATCATCCATTTATTATTCGAGTATTATTGTTTCTTCATTCAGTTGTCGTTTAATTATTTTTATTCCATATTGGGAAGCAACGCGAGTGTGCAGTTACGACGATTTCCTCGTCTTGCTGTCGTGTGTAATTGATACTATCGGATATTATTATACAGTTGTCGATCAAATATTAATATCATCATCCATTAATTAATCGGGTATTATTACTTCTTTATTCAGCTATGATTTAATTATTTCTTATTGCGTATTGGGAAGGAACTCGAGCGTGCCGTTACGACAATTTCTTTTCCTCGTTTTGCTGTCGCGTGTAACTAATTGATACTAAATTATTAACTTACTAAATTAAATTAAATTTCTGTCACAGAGATCCAATAGAGTAGATACAGTTACGTGGTTCTAGGGGATGCTTGGGGGTTGCCGCGCCGGAGGATTAGGCTCGGGCCTGTCTGAGTCGGCTCGAAGGTGAGCTTAACTAATTTGTACTTATAATTAGAAATCCGACAAAACTGAAAATTTTCTTGTTTGGAATCGAGTTCCTTAATCTCTCCATCGTCGTGTAACTAATTAATACTCAATTAAATCTGTTTTTTGTTGCAGAAACGAGCACTCGTCTCTAAGGGGATGCTGCGCCGGAGGATCCGGCTCAGGCCTGGCACAGTTGGCGCGAAGGTAAGTTTACTAATTTGAATTTATAATTCCGATAAATCCGATAAAACTGGAAATTCTCTTATTTGAAAGCGAGTTCCTTAATGCCTCCATTTTCATGTATAATACTAAATTAAAACTGTTTTCTGTTGCAGAGAGGAAGCAGACGACTAGCCGACTCTTAAGGGCTGCTGCGCCAGAGGATCTGACTCGGGCCGAGCGGGGTTAGCTCGAAGGTGAGCTTCATTAATTAACATTTGTAATTAGAAATCCGACAAGACTGATAATTCTCTTGCTCGAAATTGAGATAATTTTAAATCAAATTAAAGATTGCGTTAAATCGTAATTATACGCGGGGAGAATTTTTTCTGAGTAACATTACCACTTGAAAAATTTTGATTTGTTCTGATTAAGAGGTTTATTTGCAACGTCGAGAAAAAAGAAAGTGGAATATTTCAAGTGTGAATGCATTCCGAAAAATTATTCCAGCGTGAAAAATATCGCGTTTATTTTTTTATCTTTCAAACTTCTTTACTCAAATTGTCATTAATGCACAAATCTAATCGACGAAATGGCATTTTTCTGTTCCAGAAACGAAAGCAGAATGTGGCTACCCTGATCGGCGGTTTGGTGAGTCAAAACAAGAAACATTGATAATAGAAAGACAAAAAGTCTTTCAATATAGTGCATGCTTATTGAATCAATGCGATTTACTTTGCTGTAGCTGTAGTATACGTGCTGTCCAATAAAAATCATACTGCTCAAAACAATTAGAAGATCGCTTTTTTAAATAATAATATTAGTGATAATATACATTTTACATAAATTTTCAAGTATTTTTTCTCTCAATGTACATATATTTATTAATTGATTAACTTAGATTACTGATTGGTCGACGATTTTTGTCGGAGAAAATTTTGATTAATCAAACCCCAACACTATGTAGTAGATGCTTAAAGTATTGAGTATACACTCTAAACATTCAAAATTTTGTAAAATTATTCAGTTTGATTGAATGCGATCTTCCAGATGTCTCGAGCAGTGCACCAACGCGCAAAGGGATTGCGCCACAGAAAATGCGCAATCATATCACTTGCGTTATAGATCTTCCGCCGGTCGTTAATTTTTTCTCAATTTTCTCTCTCGCGTGAGCTTGAATCTCGATTGCATTTCATAAAATAGAGTTCGTGCTTCGTTATTAAGTAAAATTCGATATCGTGCAGTACCTGCGCAAAGCGATCTAACGTGATTATATAAACTGCTCGCAAAATTAATTTCACGATCGTCGGAAAATTTTCAGGTTTTAATTTTTCATTTAGAGTTAGTTTCCTAACGCGAGACACAATAGAGACAATGTTAGTGAGCGTTGATCCCTCGTGAAAAACGCGATGTATACAAGTCAGACATACGAGCAGTTGTTTATTTACGCTGCGCGCTACAAGTTCCATTGAACGAAGACAAACATCTCATGCAATAACATTTTCGAGTAAATTTTGAACATATTTCAATACTTTTGATTTCGTTGCATTTCGAGTAAAGCTACATTTTGAATTTTAAACAGAATCTTTATCTCTATCGTCACAATTTTCAGAGCTTTTGATTTTTCATTCATGCTCGTGTTCGCGATTATTAATTTGATAGGTTTGCGAATTTCACTGGATCGTATTTGCGAAAGAGTCGCAAACGAACTTTGCAGAAATATTGCGGAGTTGTTATCCGCAAAAATATTGCGGAACAGTCTTCGCAAAAGTATTGCGGAGCTGTATTGCAGCCTACTACTGCACCATCGAAACGTTACATTAGGAATATTCCGTGTCGTATGTGAGAATCTCGCACAGATTACTTCGTTTACACATCGAAAGATTTCGCGAGATCGGCCTTCGATTCGCGTTGCGTGTCTCTTTCGCTCGCGGATTCCGTTTTCTTCGTAAGCGATTCGCTTGGCACGTGCATCAAAGCGATATACTACAACTCGATCGGATCGTTGCTGAATTCGTCGCACATACTCGTCAACCCGAAAGGCCGACATTTCCTCGAAGACGCAGTTCGCGATATTTCATACGTAATTCGCAACTCAGAGTGTATCCCCTAATAGAAACGGGATTTTTCGTGAAACCTCCGTTAGATTACCTCGGTCGGGAATAAATTATAGGCGACGTGGGACGCGAGGATCATTGCAGTGTCAGATGCAGTGACAGGATGGCTGGTGGACCCTGGACACCGTGGGACTACGCGCAATGGTGAGCGCTCAATTTAGACGCTCAGTAGTAGACACAAAGCGTCACTTTACGTAGATTGCATGCACGTAGACGTAAATCGCATTGGGTCCGACGGGAAGTAAAGTAAGAATTGGAATTTGCAATTTGCCAGAGTTACGTAAGAATTATCCAACCAAAAAATTTACCTCTGAGATTTTCGCAATAGTTCAATGAGTCAAGTATTTCCATTTCTTTAAGAGTATTGACTAGCTCAATCCTTAGAAAAATGTGCAAAAATACGCGACTGGTAAAAAATAAAAAAACTGTTCTTAGTTCATTTCAAGCATCTATAAAGCTTGAATTTTTTTGTTTGGATTAAAAAGATGTAAATGGAGTATTCATTGATAAAAGCTTATAATTTTTTGAATTTGATCATTCTTGCATAACAATGGCTAATTGAAATTTCGACTCGGCAAGCTTCTTTCTCGTCGGATTATTTCTTGATAATACATTAAACTGATATATT